ATTTATTTATTTTACTCCAAACAAAAACTGCGCTTCATGTAAGTGCAATTTTATTGCGATCGATCGTGTAAATAAGAAAACTGCTAAGCTTCAAGATAAACTAATCGTAAACGATGTTGATTAAGACGACGAAGAAAAAAGAAATATAATATATATATATATATATAAAATCAAGTCCTTCTCAGAGATTATTTTCGATCGTCGATCTTCTCTCTTACACACAGAGAGACACACACACACACACATACACACAAACACAAACACACGCATATGCAAGCATATATACACAGAGTGTGTACAATACAAAAGCGTTCTGATATCCGATATTAATCGTTACATTGGAATTCACTGCATTGTTTCAACACAACGACCGATGGAACGGTTCGTTCATTGCAACACGCGGTACATAGTAATCCGATTTGATGGAACGCTACCGCGGCCGTTTAAAAATCGAAATTGGCTTGGAGATATATACACATATATGTATGTACATATATATATATATATATATACACATACACACATATGTATGTACGTATGCATGTATGTATTGAAAACTAATCGTGACTAAATACGAGACCTTCATGGATGATTGTAAACAGTGAGGGAGAGATATACGTGATTGTAATAACAACAGTTTTTTTTTGTCGTTCGAGATACGCGCAAAAAATTAAAAAGGAAAGAAAAAACAAAAAAGAAAAAAAGAAAAAAAGAAAAAGAGAGAGAGAGAGAAAAGAAGAAGAAGAGAAGAGAGGGGGAGAAAAAGAAAAGGAACAAGGAGAAGCGAGAAAAAGGAATAGTGAAAAAAGAAAAAAAAGAAGACAAATTAAGAAGAAAAATGAAATACAAATAAACAAATAAAAAGAATAGAAAACAACGACATAGAGATAGATAGATAGACAGAAACAGAGACAGAGAAAGAGAGAGAGAGAGAGAGAGAGAGAGAGAGAGAGAACGAAAATCCTTTTACAACTCGTACAGCTACAGTAGAAAACGAAAGTAGGCTGGAAAAAAAGAAGAACATGACGTAACACGTTTTCGACGTAGCTGCATAAAATGTTTCCACCGTTTCCTGCGATGAAAAACGAACGATGCACGTTGCTCTCTCTCTCTCTCTCTCTCTCTCTCTCTTTCTCTCTCTCTCTCTGTATGTCTATCTATCTCACTCTCTTTTTTTTTTCTGTTCTCGTTTCACCGGTAACACAACGCCTAAGCGAATTTCCTCCGATAGAGACAACTTTCCTCCTACGCGGGAAAGCTTCATAAAGAGGGATTTACTCGACAAATTTACGCTTTTATTAAAACCATGAAGAGAGAGAGAGAGAGGGGGGAGGAAGAGAGAGAAAGAGAGGGGGGAGGAAGAGAGAGAGAGAGAGAGAGAGAGAGCAATGAGAAACGACGAGAAAGAGAGAGATGCAACGAAAGAGAAACAGAGAGTAGTACCGTGAATTTTTTATGAACCTAATAGTATTTATATATATATATATATATATATATATATATATATATATATATATATATACGTATTATATACCATTACTCTTTATAACGACAATTATGTTATTTTGATATATTTCCAGTTTCTCTCCCTCCTTCTCACTCTCTCTCTCTCTATTTCCCTTTCCCACTGTAGCACTCTCACTCTTTCTTTCTCTTTCTCTCTTACTCATTCTCTCTCTCTCTCTCTCTCTCTCTCTCTATCTTTCTTTCTCTAATCTTATACGTTAAAAACAAAAGATATATTAAAATATATTCCAATTAACTCATATATATATATATATATATACGTATATATATATCACCTCAGAGAAACGTCGACGTAATAATATGTATATCCAGTAGTCATGACAATTTCTAGGTTATGTATACAAACGTGGATAATTTGATATCGACTCTTACGTTCTCGATCGATGTATCGTCGCCATCTTGAAATGGCTTAATTTTCAACTAACAATAACAATGTGAAACGTTCGATTTCCATACAACGTATTATACGTACATACAAAATACATACACGCGTGCACGTATACATAGCAGCAGTAGTAGCATACATACATACACACATATACGTACGTACGTACTCCTCTCTATCTCTCTCTCTCTCTCTCACATACAGAGGACATATACACAGCCACACATACGTATATATGTACATATATATATATGTATCTACATTAAACTCACCAAATCAAGTTGAAACTCAAGTTCATCGTTTTTGTATAAACCTTTCGACCACGTTTCGTGTCCGGCAGCACCGTTGCTGCGCATGTCCGTAGATCCTTCGACCATCATCGACAGAACATCAAGACGATTCCTCTCCGAACACGTATCCACCGTCTCCATATTACCAACACTCATTTATTCGTACAATCTTTAACGCAAATATACGTACGATAAATCACTCAAAACGAACCTATTTTAACAACGATATTTTCTAACGTAACCTAACGCGTGTACAGACACAACACACACGGCCGGTCGCAACGTGTTACACCGGCGCGACCGGTCGATGTCACTGCGCGTTCGGTCAACTTCGTAAACGCTCGAGCCATTCCGTCGGCACTGCCGTACGCATAGTTTTCAATGCCCTACGTCAACGACTATTCTTTTCGATTCATTCTTTCCTACATACTGAATTTCTTCGTATCCTCAATCCTTTACCCTTCCATCATCAAACGTCAATTCATTTATTCGTTCATTCGTTCAATCACTTATTCATTTATTTATTTATTCACTTATTCCTTCACGTTTATTGTACAAATTTTATTTATTCGACTTATCTCGTGTTATAATTTCGACTCATTTGCTCTCTCTCTCTCTCTCTCTCTCTCTCTCTCTGCATTTTAATTATCAATACGAATTCATTCATTCTTTTTCCTTTTTCTTTCATTCTTTTCTTTCATTCTTCGTTTTACTTATTTTCTTTTTTCTATTTTTTCCCCTTTTCTTCTTTTTTTTTTAAAGCAACTAATCATCGAGCTATCGACAATTATTATCGATTACTTAACAGAGACCATTATTATGTTACTTCTTATTTAATTATTACTCTCATTCGTATAATAATTTTTAAATTTACTACATTAAATAACAGCGTGGGTCAAAGAAGTTTTTAATTTTTCGATTAAAAATAACAAAAAAGAAAAAAAAAAGAAAAAAAAACAAGAAACAAAATCATTTACTATTCCTTTTTTTTTTTTTAAATTAAATTTCTTCTTTTCGTTTCTTCATTTTTTCTTTCTAATTGTAACACTTGACCTCACAGCACCCTAACGTTTAACTATGTACTTGTATGTATATATATTTTTTTTATTTATATATTTATATATATATATATATATATATATATATTATATTTTTTATTTTTATTATTATAAATATATTTTTTTTGTTCATTCTCAAATCATTTTCCCACAGCTAAGCGAAGCAAATTTATTTGACACGAGAGAGAGAGAGAAAGAGAAAGAAAAAGAGAAAGAGAAAGAGAAAGAGAAAAAGAGAGAGAAAGAGAGAGAAAGAGAGAAAGAGAGAGAGAAAGAGAGAGAGACGACAATTTCGATATGAAAACTTTTTTTTCGTCATTGTACGCACAATGCCGGGCGTGAGAGAAAAATAAAACATTCAGTTTATAATCTACTTTTCTAGATTCGATCTCGTTTAAAGGCACGATATGACATTTGAACACGTCCGAATCGCGTGAGCCGTTTTATTTCCGGAGTTCACGACGTCTTCGTGACGTTTCTCCTTTCGGTATATAGATCATAGGTCACAAAGAGAATGTTCTCTCTTTTTCTCTCTCTCTCTCTCTCTCTATTTACCCTCCTCCTCTTCCTTTCCCTCTAACCACACCCCACATCCCTCCATCATCCCTCATCCCCGGCGCACAATTATATTTCTAATCTATAATACGTAGTTCCTCGTTAATATTAAAAGTCATTATATTTCGCGTCTATTTATTTTACTCGAGAAATCGTTCACAAAATATTATTTATTTATTTATTTTTTTTTTCCTTTTTATCTCTTTCATATACACGCATAACTAACTATGTCTCGTGTATGATGATGATAATGATGGCGATGATAATATATATATATATATATATATATATATATATAAAAAGAAAAAATAAAAATAATAAAGAATAGAATAAAAAAAAAAATATATATATATATATATATACACATAAGACCGCTATCAATGTTCAGATATAAATAGTACGAATAAAATTGCGATGAAAAGAAAAACAAAACAAAAGAAAAAAAAAAAAAAGGAAGATAGTAAAGAATCCTTCGCGACATCGAAAAAAAAATAATTTTGCTTATAAATAATATTTTAGAAAAATAGAAGATGAGTACGACACGTGACACATGGCGCAACAGGCGGTGGTGAATAGTAGAGACGCATCCTCTCTCCTCTCCATTAGAATTTCAAGTAGCTGCTTTTCTACTGCTTTCTAGTCCTATACTCCTTTATTTCTTTCTCTTCATAATATCTATCTCCTTCTATAACTTGGAAGAACACCCCCTTCACCGCATCCTTCCTTATTTCATCTTTTTTCCTCTTTTTTTCCTATCTTTCTTTCTCTTTCTTTCACCTCTTCATCGTACACATAAGAATATATAAAAGGAGTAAAGGAACGTCTTAATAATAAATTTCGAAAGAAATTCTTTCGTATTATATCATGAGAAATGTATTAACATTACAGAGAAAAAAAAACATAAATATATATATACATGTATATATATATATATATGCACGTAGTAGACACATGTGTATTCCTCTTTTGCAACTCCAAAGGACATTTCTAATCTGACAAGACAACAATGTTTTCCCGAATAAAAGGTAATTTCAAAGAAAGCTAAGTTTTCAAAGAAAGTCTACGATATTCGTGTTTGTGTCAGTGTTGTCTCCACTTTTGGGAATGTAGGACAGAAGAGATGGGGTGAATAGAAGGGTGAGGAGGGGAGGGGGGATTAGCTTTCCCATTTTTACGTCACGAACTTATCACGAAAATGTATTCCAAGGGGAGCCGAAAAAAAAATACATGTAAATCTTTATCTTTCTCTCTCTCTCTCTCCTATCTTTTTTCATTCTTTTTTTTTTTGACAAACACACTAAACAAATTATTTCGAATAAATAAAATCTAAGTACAGTACGTGTATATGTATATATATTTTCTTTTTTTTCTTATATTATATTTATATTATTTATTTATATATCATTTTTAATTTAATATATTTATATTTTGTATTTAATGAAATTCCTCTTTTCTTTTGTATTCTATAAATTTTCCTTCTCTCTTTATCTCACTCACACACTCACACACTCACACACTCACACACACTCTTTCTTTATTCCTTTCTTTCTTCGTCATTCTAACGAGAGTTAACCTCCTTCGTCGTTGTTCTGCCTTTAAAAAAGAAGTTCTTGAAGGGCGCAGCTGCAGAAGGGAAACGTGTCGTTCTGCAGGGGCGATTAACGAAACTATCGTTTAACTCTACAACGGGACTAACTCGATGGTATGGGAAAGGGGAAAGGGGAAAGCTCCAACGGAAAGACGAACAAGAAAGAGAAAAAGAAAAACCGAAAAGAAAGAAAGAAAGAAAGGGAAAAAGAACCGGGCAAAAAAAAATAAAAAGAAGAGGAAAAAGGGAAAACGAAAAGAAAAGAAAAAAAGAAATTAGGAAAGAAAAACGTAAAAAAAAAAAAGAAAAGAAAAAAAAAAAGAGAAAGAAAGAAACCGAGAGAAAAAAGAAAACCGGAAAGAAAGAAAAAGAAGTCGAAGGAAGAGACGGAGAAAAGTATTGTTAAGGATTGAAAAAATGAGAGCAATCATTGGAATAAAAAGAGAATAAAAGGAAAAGGGATAATAAAATGTAGGAAAAAAGAGTATAAACAAATGAAGAAAGAAAAATATAGAATGCTTTTAACCCTCCGACTGTTAAATTGTCAAAATGGAAGGGTAATAAACGTGTCCAACTATCACCGAAACGGTTCTCGATATTAATTAACGCCAATAATGAGAGTTATTTTGTGTTTGGCTTGGCACACGTTCGTTGCGTTCATTGCATTCGCCTAGAGAGTCACGCGAGCCGATATATATATATACATGTATGTATGTATGTATGTATGTATGTATGTATGTATGTATGTATGTATGTATGTATGTATGTATGTATGTATGTATGTATGTATGTATGTATATATGTATGTATATAAACGTTCATTTACCACCTCTCTCTTCTCCGATCTCTTCCCTCTTCTCCACACCCCCTCCAATCCAACATCCTTGTGTTACTCTCTTTCGACTAACTACTAACCCCCCCTTCACACCCCTTAACCAACCACCAACCCTACCATTCTCCCTGAGCAAACCCTCTGTGTCTCCAACAACCACATACAACCTGCTGAACGTGTATCTCTTCTTTCGCTTTATATCTCTATCTCTCTCCCGCTCTCTCTCTCTCTCTCTCACTCTATCTCTTTTACCTCTTTCATCCCCCTTCTTTCGCATCGCTTCGATTTCAATGAAAACGAGCCATGATATCGATTGCGACACGACATTTGTTTCCTTTTTATATATTACTTTGCAAGAATCTCTCTCTCTCTCTCTCTGTCCCTCTCTATCCTTCTTTCTCTCTCTTTCTCTGTCTGTCCCTTTTCTCTATCTCTTTCTATACATTTACTATTTTACTTTCTACCCACGTCTAACCCATTATCGACTATATAATACTAGTGGAAATGCAACGTACGATTCGTTCGAACAAAATATGTAGAAATTAATAAAAGTCTATCGTTCGTTTTCTTCCTTTCCCCCCCCCCCTCTCTCTCACTCTGTCTGTCTCTCTCATTTTTTTTTATCATATTCGTACAGAAGAGAAAAGGACAGATAGAAGGAGAGAGAGAGAGAGAGAGAGAGAGAGAGGGAGGGAGGGAGAGAGAGAGAGATAGAGAGAGATGTAGGATCGCGTTAGTGTCACAAGAATTATCGATTAAACGTCGATACGTATTATCGAAGTTCACCCCTAAACGGCATATATCCTGTGATATTCATCCCCATTTCTGATGTCCTCTTTGCTAACGCACTCTCTCTCTCTCTCTCTCTCTCTCTCTCTCTCTCTCTCTCTTTCATATCTCTCATTATACCTTTCCATTTTCTATCAAGCTTCTTGGTAAATGAAGGGAATCATGTATGTACATTTATGTATGTATATATATATATATATGTGTATGGATTTATGTACGTATATATACATATGTATATAAATGTATGTGTGTGTGTGTGTGTGTGTGTATGTCCGTTGATCGATACGTCAGATCTTCTTCGTGCTTTTGACGGTTCCTGGCATATACTCCGAAAGATTTGATGTGGATCGACTAGTATATGAGAGGGCCAAAAAAAAGAAAAAAGAAAAAAAAAAGGAAAAAAAGAAGGAAAAAAGAAAAAAAAAGGGAAAATAAATAAATAAAAAAAAAAGTAAAAGAAAAAAAAAAGAGGAAAA